GGGGGCGTGGGGCCGGCGGCAGCGTCCGACGATTGACGATAGCCACCGAGCGACCGCATCTCCGGCGACGTCTCTCTTTGTCGTCCTTCATCTCCGGTGTCCTTCATCTCCGGTGTCGGTGTTGATGTCGGAGTGGGGGAGGGGGCTGTCGGGGGTGGTGGGCAGTGGAGAAGAGAGAGAAGAAAAAAAAAATGAAAACTGTTTTCAGAAGAATGAAAACGAAAACGAGAAAACGGATTTTTTTTCGTTTTCATTTTTTCACAAAAAGACAAAAATGTTTTTATTTTTGTTTTTTGAAAAATTTTGTGCCAAACACGTTTTTAAAATGTGTTTTCATTTTTTAACTTCAAAAAACGTGAAAAACGAAAACGAAAACAAAAACAGACGGGCCATAATTTTTGCTTAGTCTATGCGTTTAAAAATAGAAGAGAAATAAATCAAAAGAAAAATATTTTTACACAGGGAGTTATTGGTTAGGAGGAGTTTCATTTGCAGACCCACCAGTCTCCCCTCTCTCCGACAGAAGCCCTCTCTTCCAACGGCGCCTGCAAAGACGGCGTCATCTCGCCGACTTCAGTCCGCCGCCACGATGGCGCCGGCATAATGGACTCCGTCACGGACTTCGCCAAGAGATCCACTGATTAATGGGAGGAAGAGCATGTGATTTATGTCGGTTGGTTTGATTTTCCGTTAATTGTGGCTCCGGGTTTCCACTTCTTCATCATCTTGTTGCTCGTTTATCAAAGAGACTAAAGTCGCTGAAGATCTCGGATTACATGCGTTTAAGAATACTCAGACTTCTTCAAAAACAGGTTTCTCTCTAGTCTTTGGGGGTTTTTTTTTTTTTTTGGAAAAGGGAAATCTAATTTATACTTTATGGTTATTACCAATATGATTATTGTTATCGTTAATATTTTCTGAATTTTGTGTAAGTTATTTTTATGTCTACAATTTGGAGAGTTCATATTTGTCGCGAGAATATAGAAGAGGTGTTTGGGGAAGAAGAAAATGAAGGAATTTTCGAGGAAACAATAGATTCGGAAATTGGAGCAAACAAAACCATAATCTCATTCACTTTTTTCTCTCTTGATTCCAAAATCACCCAGTTTAGGGACTTGGATTTGCTTGTTTCGAAATCAACCAGATCACGAATTTTGATAATTTGAAGGTTGGTTTCTGGGTTGTCTGAATTCTTTGGAATTGTTGATTGCAAGGAAAATTTGATAATTTGAAGGTTTCTGAGTTGTCTTGAATTCATAAAATTTGATAATTTGATAATTGTTGCTTGAATTGTTGGTTTCTGGGTTGTTGAGATTCTGAGTTTTGGATTGCGAGGAAAATTCTTGATTTTAAGGTTGGTTTTTACTTTCTGGGCATACTAAACTATTGTTCTTCACTCTCAAAAAAAAAAAAAAAACTATTGTTCTTCAGGTTTTTTTTTAATATAGGCTACAATCCAGTGTGAATGAGACTACGTAAACGTTCACTAAGATTTAATATGGATCGTTGGATTTCACCGTATCGGTAGGGGAAAAAAGCTCCCCCTACCATAGACATGCCCAAAAAATATAATAGAAACAGGCCTAAATTGTAGGTTAAAACTTTGGGGCCTTAAGCAGCCGCTTAACCTGCCTTAGGGTTAAGCCGGTTCTGTAGAAAACGATAAAGTGACAAGGAAAAGGAGATTTCATTAAGTTGTTGACTATAAGAATGAAAAGAGCTTCAATTGTGCTCGTCATTAGTGTTTCAAGTTGAAGTTGGGTTTATAGATTACATTCAAGTTTTGTGTCCGAAATTTTAATTTGAAGTTTAATGTATGAAATAGAAATTAGTTTATGGAATTCGTTCTTTGTGGAGTTTGTTAAAAATTGGTTGATGTTTTTGGAATTTGTTCTGTTGAAAATTGCTATTGTGATTTGTGGTTGATACTGGTGAAAATTGTTATTTTTATTAATTTGGGTGTTGAGCTATTTGTTTATCTTTTGTTGATTATGTTTACTATTTTTGGGAAATTGATGTTAGTTGATTAGTTTCATACTTGTTGGAAATTGGTGTCATTGTATAGTGTTTGATTTTTATTTTTTTTATTTTTTTTATATCAGAATGGCAAGCAATATGTCCACAACAATCGACTATCTGATTTCAGACACTGTAAATGTAATTTTTTTTTCATATTATGACTTAGTTACGAATATGTAGTTTTTGTCTCCATATATGCCTTGAGGCTTACGCCTCGCCTCGATTAGACAAAACACGTTAGTTCCCAATTCCGCCTCTTAAAACTATGAGTTTTCTAATGATTTTCGTGTTAAATCGTAAACCTCCCGATGCCATTCGAAAAGACCATGTCAGAGATAGAGGGAGTTTTGAGGTTTTGACTTTAAAGAGGGCCTTAGGGTTATGAGGTTTGTTCCCTCTTTTTATTTGTACTCCTTACTAGAGACCGGAATTTAGATATTAGTTTTTAAAAATATCTACCCAGATCCAAGTGATCTGTGTTGTAAATTTTTGAGGACCTCTCTTGCCTTATTAAAGATATATTGTGTCACATAAACTGTCTGGAAGGCCTGGAGAAATTTGTAGCATCTACAACAGATACGAATGTGATATCTAGTTCTGTTCATTTACCTATGTCACATAAACTATCTCTCAGAATTTTGTATTTCATTGCTGAACAGGGAAGCGGCTTTTTAATACAAGGGAAAGAAGAGAATTCCTGATTTGCTATGGCAGCGTCTGCTAAAACTCTCACGGCTAAAACTAGTTCTATGAATGGAGAATGGACAGTTGTCCTACCTCGTCGTGGCAGAAAAAGAACCTGTCCAATAACAAGAACTCGGGAACAGCAACAACCAGTCTCTTGGGCTCCAACGGATTTTGAAGTTAATTCCCTTAGAGAATCAAAACTGAAGCAGAAGATGCAAATCTGTATGAAGAAACTCGAGACTTCCCAATTCTTTCTTACTTTACTGGATCAGATTCGATCTCCAGAGATCATCCAGTGTTTTCACAAGGTGTTAGGCTCGGAGTTGAAGATGCAGATGGTTATATATGGCATAGGCAGTATTGAATCATACGAAAATCCTCGATTGCAGCTGAGCCTTGCTCTTCTGTTAAAGAGTAAGTTCGGCTGGATTGGGGACATAGAGGTATTTGATCCTATTCTTTCCGCGACAGAATCACGGGTTCTTGAATTTCTAGGTTGTTCTGTCTTATCAATTAATGAGCAAGGTCGGCGAAAGGTGCAGAAGCCAACAATGCTCTTCATGCCGCATTGTGAGGCGGAGTTATATGACAATCTGTTGCAGGAAAACTGGAGAATTGAGCACTTGAATAACCTAGTAATATTTGGCAATAGCTTTGAGAATTATGAGCAGTTTGTATCTGAGTTTAAGAACTCAACTGTTGCTTCAGCAAGGCATATGTTGTCGGCTCAAAAGTTCACGGAGGAATTCAAAATTCAGACAGTTTTAGATGATTATTTTGGTGCTTTTCACGATTCAAGCTGGCATTTTTTCAGCCCTGTTATCGAGCCAGGGCTGCAGTATGTCAATTCTTGATGGAAACATTGGAAACTTGATTATGATTGAAAATAGTGCTGAGATTTATACAATAAATTATAACTTCCATTCATTCAATTTTCTCGGCATTGGATGTAAAGATTTTATTTAATGACGGAGAATACTATTTGGCGTTTTTAGGGGAAATTTTATGAATTTCCTTTGATTGTCACGTAAGTCAACATGTCAAATGTAATTGTTGTGTTTCCGATCCATAGAACATCACCAAATCCGACTGCTTTCGTGAAGATCCTTTTAATCTTTGGAGGGAATGAGGTTTGTTATATTATTTATACCTCAGTGTGTGGCGTTCCCTCCGAATAAACAAGTTTGGCGTTAAAATTCAGCTAAAAAAATAAAACCAAAAAAACAAAGAAAAGATCAGTTGGTCTGATTATTGCCAGTTGTTTTCAGCGTACATGACATGTAGAAGCAACAAAGGTAAGGTTCACCTCTTCGACCAGAGGGAGGTTGGTTGGACTTGGCGAAGCAGGTGATCAATTTTGAGTTTATGACTCCGTTTATTTTACCGATTCGTGTTTAGAATTTAAGTTTTATTACAATAAAAACTCTTAAAAACAGTCATGTCTAACTTTTTTGTTATAGTAAAAAGCTCTCACATAAAGTCACATCTTAACTCGAATTAAAAATTCGAATCAACGAACTAAAGGACTCTAAAGGACTCTGTATATTCATATATATATATATATATATATTTAGATGAGGTTTTAATAGTTATTTTGATGAAAATACCATGCATTCCGTTTCAATTTTCAACCGTTATTCACCTCCTGACCACGACCTCCATAAAGACGCTCGGTAAAAATAAAAAATAAAAAAAAGAACCTTTTTTTATTAGACCTAAATTTTAATGATTTTTAAGTTAAAAGGGTTAATTATCATGAATAAAAAGAATAAGAAAAATATTGTCCAATTTAAAAAGTTCAGGGGCCGTCCGTAAATAATAAAAATAAAATAAAATAAAAAAACCGGGACTTCTCGCATTTCTGGCAAGGCTTTCGCACGCACGGCGCACCAGCTGCTCACCATTCCTTGCTTCCCCAATCTCACTTAGAATTTCTCTTCTGAAATTTACAAGGCCAGTCAACAGTGAGATATTTAAGAGTTGATTCCACGCGTATGGGCTCATCTATATGTTTATGAATTTTTTTTTGTTGTTGTGGTGTAAAATTTGGTCTTCACATTGTGTCGTTTGCGTTTGGAACTAATGCATTGCGCACCAGATGTTTGTGAAAATGCTTGAGTTGGGATTTTACTTGTATTTGTCTAGTTTGATATTTGGATTGTGATGTTTGCGTTTGGAACTAATGCATTGCACACCAGATGTTTGTGAAAATGCTTGAGTTGGGATTTTACTTGTATTCGCTTAGTTTGATATTTTGATTGTGATGTTTGCGTATGAACTAATACATTGCACGCCAGGTGTTTGTGAAAATGCTTGAGTTTGGATTTTACTTGTATTAGTTAAGCATGGTAGTTACTTATATTTGTCTTAATTCATTTTGTTTCCCATTTTCTTTCGGAAACTTGTTTTTGCTTATTGTCATCAATTTTCTTCCTGTACTCTGTTCGTCGCCATCGAAAGAAATTTCGAGTTGCAGAAAGAAACGTGAACATGAGAAAACTTGCAACTATGTTCCTTGTTCATGCCCCTTTCGAGGCTGCAGCTTTATAAGTTCATCGAAGGCGCTTTTTGTCCACTTCATCCGCAAACATCCTTAATCTTTCCTCAGATGTTAAATCTTTTAATCATAGCACTCAAGGCACTACAGATGTTCACCTATCCATGTCTTCATTGAACTTTGTTGTGGTTCCAATAAGCTTCTTTTCAGCCTCATATCATCCAACTTCATTATAGCTTCTGTTAAAGCCTTCGCATATGGAGTGCTGGTGTTGGTGTTGGTGCTGTTTGAGCTTTCAGAAAATTATCTGATTCAATTCTGTTTCATTTGCCAAAGTTGTGGATGACTTAACTTAACTGATAACATTGACGAGTGCATATTTTTGTGCCTCTTATTAGCATGTGGGCTTTTTATTGTGCTAAACATATTTTCCTATATTTACGATGAAATTTGAATGCTTCAATATTTTTCCTTTCTTTAGGGCTGGTTGGCTTTCTATGTTTGATGTGATTGCCTTCAGACTGGGGCTGGTTTTGTATTACTCTTTAGGTTTCTTTCTTTCTTTCTTTCTTTCTTTCTTTCTTTCTTTTGGGCTAAACAATCATCATGTGATAATTGAATCATTTAACAGTCTTTTTTTAATGGTTTATTAACTGAAGGGCTATGCCGCTATGCCGACACTTGGGTGAAGTTCAGGGGATACTCTGACACTTTGAAAGTTGAGGGGCTACCATAACACATTTAAGCCACCCTCGTGGTTTTGATACATATATATATATATATATATATATATATGCACACATATATATTATTTTACTAGTTGGTGCTCTTCTCTAGCTTTCACAAAAGAAACTAGTGTTGGCCTTGCTTGCAGTTAATAGTAGAGCAACTAAATTTGAAAGCGAAACAACAAAAATGATGGCTTAATTTCTGTTTGTTGGAGATGGTATGGGTCTTAATTGGTCCAAAACTTTTGATTGTGTGTTCTTTTGTTTCTTCCTGGTTATGATACAGAAAATAAACAGGAGTAGGTTATTCAGTCTTATGCCCTTTTAATCAACTTTCTCTGTAGATGGTGGTGAAATTCTGTGATACGCTGCCTTCCAATCTTTCCAAACATGTCATTGTCAAGACTTTCTAGAAGAGCACATCTCTTGCCATACCTAAAACATTTACATGACGTGCCTCTTGCATCCAGGTAGTTATGTTATAGGACTAGAAATGATATTTAAAGTTAGATCTTGAGTTTAACACGGCTTAACCAGTTACTCCATGCTTCACTTTGTCTTTATGGAATTTGGTCACCCAAATTTTTTCAAGGGGTGTTTTTCTCGAGATTTAACAGATTATTATGACATATCTTTCGAGTCACAGCTTTTTTACTTGATGAATTCCGTGACCTTTGTTTTCTTTTTATTGATTCAGGTGTTTACCTCATGACTTAGTCTCATCAAGTTATAGTTTCACCAGGGGTAATAATGGATATTGGAGGCCTGTTGGATATAATATATGGAGAACAGAGTTAATACATGAATTTAGTACGGGTTCATTTGATAAGTATCGCCAAGTTTCAGCACATGCTACCAAATGCTTCAGAAAACCTTATTCTTTGTTCAGTCAGCATCACTATGCATCTGTTGCATCTAACGATCAGAAATCAAGGAAGATGCTTCTTTATCTTACAGCACTGGTGTTCGCAATGGTGGGATGTAGCTATGCTGCTGTTCCCCTATACAGGAGGTTTTGCCAGGCAACAGGGTATGGGGGCACCATCCAGCGACGTGAGGTCCGACTTTAGCTTTTAACTTATTTTGGGGGTTTTTTTTTTTTTCCAACGCGTAGATGTTGATATGCATATGCATATTTATGTATGTGTTATATATGTACAGTGAGAGAGAGAGAGAGAGAAAACAAACACACGCATACATGTTACTTTCTTTTACATTTAACACAACTAATTCCAACTGAAAGAGGGAATTGTGAGAAGTTGAGGGCCTTTTCCTTCTCTCTCTCTCTCCCTCTCTCTCTCTCTCTCTGTCTAGAATTGTATTAGAATATCAAAAGTGACATGGGAAGTTGTGCTCTTTTTGAAGGAGTAAAGGACATGATTGCTAGAGCCCTGATATATGCTAAATAAAATGTTTTGCGTAATTGAGTGGCGAGGTGAAGCATTTGAGCATCTCAAAATGTTACTAATGTAGCTAATAACAATTCTCAGGAAACTGATCTGAAAGAGTATGCATGTACAGTATCTGAATAAATAGAAATGGTAGGAGAAAGTATACTTGGGAAGGTCAAAAGTATAATGAGAAGTATCCTCCCAGAGGGATATGTTCATATTTAGGAGGTGTGGACAACTTTAGGTTGACTTGTATCCATTTTATATCGCATATGCTTTTGGGAATTTCACCTTCAGGTTCTGTAAACTTGTAAATTCAACGATACTCTTTTTTTTTTATTTTTTTTGGGTAGAGTGTTGAAGAAAAGATTGCTCGGCATGCTAATGATGGGACAGTCACTACAAGGTCTGCTCTAGAAAAGATTGTTCTTCCTCTTTTTTCTCCCTGTTATTTATTTCTCATCCTTGTTTCTTTTCTTTAAAAAAAAAAAGGAATGATCTAACTTTGGTCTTCGCAATCATTTTGGTGTATTTTGTTTTTCCAACTACCATATGCATTGTCATCTTAAACTAATATGTTCATTTGCTTTTGCTAGCTGTAGGAATTTTTTTTCAAAAATTCCTTTCCGCATACTTTATCTTATCCTACTTCTGGACTATCAAGCGTGCATCTCATGTTCCTTATGTTTGATACGTTTTTGCTCTCTAGTCTCTACATTAACCTTATGATTATATTTTAAAGTTTACTTTCTTAGACTGGTTATAGTAAATTAATTTGAAGACCAAGAAAAGATTTACTGTTCAGCCGTTTCATATATCAAATTGCATTGTGATTATAAGTGATGAATCTCACATTTGGTTGAATGGATCTTATAAGATTTAATAATCAGTTCAAAAGCAATCAGGATAGTTTCCTAATGAGAGTTGGATTTATGTTAATCATTAAAAGGCATTTGTTTTTCTTAGCTTAATCACATTTTTTAAGAGCTATAAAATGACAGGTTATAATCTAACATTACTTTCAATATGGTGGGAGTTCTCTTTATGGTTCCCAGTGGACTTTGCATAAAAAACGTGATGAGTTGTGCATTACTCACACCACCTCCAATCTCTAGACACAAGCACGCGTCTTTGCTATATGACCACGTTGGACTAAATTACTGTTACATAATTCTCAATTCCTTGAAACATCTGTACACAGACAGCTCTGATAGGACCGAAGTGACTTGATTCGGGATTTAACTTCACTTATCCTATATTATTCTAGCTTTACAAGTATTCCTTATTTAAGATGTTTCTTTTCTATAGCATTTATATTCTCTTTTCCGTACAGGGAGATAGTGGTCCAGTTTAATGCTGATGTGGCTGACGGGATGCCATGGAGATTTATTCCTACACAAAGAGAGGTCCATCCTTTCGGCAACTACATGCACCACTGCTATTTCAAATCAGGAACTCTATTGCAATTTGAGTGCTCTATGCTAATATTTTTGCTTTATTTTCTATAGGTAAGGGTTAAGCCTGGAGAAAGTGCTCTTGCATTTTACACTGCTGAGAATCGAAGTTCAACTGCGATAACTGGAGTATCTACATATAATGTTACTCCTATGAAGGTACTAATCAGTGCTGTTTCTTTTCATGCAACTAAGGGATGAGTGTAATTGCTGTGTTTTCTTCTTGTGTTTTGATCCATAAATAAAAACATTTGCTTCACTTGTAAATTGTTGAGTATTATCTCAGTATCCAATGTAATGTCAGTGTAAGGATGGTTTTTGTGTTAACAAAACTGAAAGATATGGGCTGTTATCTTTGTCATTATTCTGTCGGTGATTTGCATTTTCTTTTCTTGAATCTCAAACCTGGCCTTTCAGGCAGCCTTTATTTAGTCAGGATTTTGAGTAGACTTGTATTCAAATTCCTGTGTTGCCCGGCTCGCAAATTCCTCCGCACACAACCCAGCTAAGTGGTCATCACAGATGGGCTAAATGGTTCGGATTGACCGATATTATGAGAGGAGAGTTGGTGGGAGAGGGGGGCGTTTGGTTTTGTGGTTGTGTGTTTAGTTTCAGTTTTTGCTGATTTCAACCAGTATTTAAATCTGGATTGGGATCTTAAACAACCTTTTCAACTGTGGTCATCATTCAAATTGGCTGAAATGGGTTTGAACCTATGAGCCAAACAACTTTAGGCTAGAACACATTTCAAATGGTTCACCTTTTTTTGGGGATTTGTTACGCCTACTGCTGTTGTACCTGAAGCATTTTTTATATTTTGATGTTGAATCATGCCTAAAACAAAAGAAAGAAAGAGGAACAAAAAAACCGTCATTTGGTGATGGTTATTCGCAAATGAAGAAAGTTATGCTTCTTTCTTTTTTCTTTTTTTTTAGATCAATTATGCTTCTTTCTTTTAATTGAAATTTTTCTAATGGAAAGATATGTCCTAGTCTAACATGCTTACAGGAGTTTCATTCCCGTTTCTTTCTTATAATTCTTGAGCTGTAAGACTATATCCTTCCTGTTGAATATTTCTGACACTGGATTTCATCTGATTTTGCTAATTCAGAGTGTTGATATTATTTTGCGTAGGCTGCGGTTTACTTCAATAAAATACAATGCTTTTGCTTTGAGGAGCAGCGTCTTCTTCCTGGGGAGCAGATTGACATGCCTGTAAGTGATGGCCATTTGCATTCTGTCTCAGAAATAAAATCAGATTATTAAAACATTTTGATATTCGCAGGTTTTCTTTTACATTGATCCCGAGTTCGAAACAGATCCTAGAATGGATGGGATCAATAACCTGATTTTGTCCTATACATTCTTCAAGGTTTCTGAGGAATAAACAGAAAACGGTCTTCTTCGATGATCACCCTGTGTATTACTATATTTAGGCCATCATCACTCTGCTCTTCCAACTGGATAGTCGACGAATAATTTTTTTATATTTACAAGCTCAAATATTTGATTTTGATAGTGCAAGAAATAAAATTGATGCGGAATGAGGATTCGTGTCATGGTTCGAATCATAATTCGTGGCTTGCTACAGTGTTTTTTCTCACAAAAAATACACGTAAAGTGAGAATGATTCTGAATTACAGTTCTAAATCTGTGAACTAAATGTCCATTGTTTATGAGAAATATCAAAATAAGAAAATTAGGAAAAATCAGTCCTAATTTATTTGCCATTTATTTTGATATTTATTTTAATTTATTCTTGTAACTTGTGCAGAATACGTATATTTTCTCCTTTCTTTGATTCTCTCAACTAAGCTAACGAATGCTTGTTTTCATCTATTAGCCGTCAACCAATTAGATTAATTGATTTTAAAGAAAGACAAACGTTAGGTTTTGAGTTTGTGGTGATTTGAGATAATGGTGGTTATCAAATTTGACATCTCAAGGAAGCAATATTTGTTAAGTCGCGTAACAAGTTGATGGTATGTTTTCTAAATACTCAAAACCATACCATAAAATATATACACACTTAATAAAAAGTTAAAGTAGAAAGTTCATATGTAAAAAGTATTAGATATATTCAACCAATCCCTTTTGGATGCTCAAATTCTTTACCAATTCATCCATTCTATCGAGAATTAGAAAACATCTTCCAATACAAGTACTATTTCGATATCCAATTTTTGGGATTGGATTGTATTGGACGCGTTACGTAGATCTATGTTTGTTTCATGTATTAATCACTGATTCTGAATCATGATTCATGATTCTCTACAGTGTTTTTTTCTTACAAAAAATACACGTAAAATGAGAATAATTCTGAATCTATAAACTAAACGTCCACTTAATTAACTTAATTTTTTGCCTGCCCCCAACTTATCTATTTTAAATCCAATGGATAACTAATTATCAAGAATCATAATTGGCAATTAATTTGCTTGTGCGCACAGGAAACAGATCTACAAAATCCTGATACCAAAGAACCCACAACCAAGAAAAGCACATGATCTTCTTATCCCAACATGATAATACCCAAAATTCTCAACAACAACAACAACAACAACAACAACAACAACAACAACAAAAAGATAATACCCAAAACCAAATGAGCCCACATGATCCTCTTAGAGAAATTCTCTAATAAGCTTAGTGTACCAGTAGGTCATATTTTTTTAACCGTTAAATATATATATTTTTTACTCTTATATAATTTTATACAGATCCGACGAATAAAAAACATGACATATCAATATATTGACCTACCAAAAAATGTCCCATCTTCTTATCCCAAAAAAATAAAAATGAAAAATAAACATAAAACGAAAAAAAATTGTCAACCTCCATTTTGTGAAGTGTTGTCTATCTTCTTTTGGGGCGGAGGATATTCGTCATCTCAGGACTTAAAACCATATATTAAACAAAACATATAAAAGGCTTTATTGCACCGGTACCTCTCAACTTTTCGTGATTGACAAATTAGTCTCTAAATTTTCTTTCTTAACAATCAACCTTTTAAACTTCAAAATGTGTTGAATTAGTGGTCCTTTTGATAACTCCATCAAAGAATTAACGGAAACTGACGCATATGGGCATTGAATGAGGGGCAAAACTTGGAAATTTATAAAATGATTGTTTCCCCTACAGATTCAATCCAAAATCTCTCTTCCATTCCCCAATCAACACACATGTATTGAATGAGTTGCCTGCATTTATATTTTGCAAATAAATTAATTTGCTTTTGTTTAAATAAAAAAATCATTTTTGATTGAAAGACAATGGAGATCTTCAGTAGATTAAAGTGAAAGAAGACAAATAGAAATCTTCAATGGTTATCTTCTGCACACTAAATGGGGGAAATAGCGTTTGGAAAGGAGATTCATGCTATGACTCGAATTATAGTTCGTGATTTATTACAGTATTTTTTCTCATAAAAAATACATGTAAAACGAAAAAAATTCTGAATCATTGCTCCTGTTTGGTTGGAAGATTCGTTCTCTGATTCGAATTATGGTTCATAATTCGCTACAGTATTTTCTCTCACAAAAAACACACGTAAATCGAAAATTATTCTAATCTCATGGTTCTAATCCATGAACTAAACGGGCTCTTAAATTATGATTCGTGACTCATTACAGTATTTTTTCTTATAAAAAATACACGTAAAATGAAAAAAATTCTTACTCATAATTCTAAATTTATGAACAAACTATTTGTAGACCACAGTAAATTTCATTTTTGATTGACGACAATGGTTTTCTTCTTTCCCATGTGATTAACTGTTCTCCTTCCTTCCTACGACACAACTAAACAACCAAAACTCAGAAAATTTGAAAAAAAAAAAAAAAAAAAAAAGTAAAAACTCACAAATTTTAGAAAATCAAATCTAAATCCAACCAGAAAATCACAAAATTCCAAAGAACAAAATTCAAAATAAAAGAAGCAACCATGACCCAACCTAAAACCAGAAAATCCAAGAGAACAAAATTCCAAAGAGCAAGCTCGTGATGAAGACGAGATCTAGCGAAGAATGTGGCGCGGCAAGGCTGAGATCTGGCGAAGGAGAGGGGCGTTGCGATGGCCACATTTCGTAGAGGAGAGGCGTGGCTAGGCAGAGATTTGGCGAGAAAGAGGGGCGTTGCGATGGCCACATTTCGTAGAGGAGAGGCGTGGCTAGGCAGAGATTTGGCGAGAAAGAGGGGCTTTGCGACGATGGGATTTAGCAGAGAAAAAGGTGCGGCGAGACCGAGATCTGGCGTTGCAACAACAAGATCTAGCAAAGAAAAGGTGCGGCAACACAGAGACTTGCCAAGGAAGAGGAGCACAAGAACAAGGAGATGCGGTGAGGTCAGGGGTAGAGGGGGGGTTTGATGAAGATCTGGGTGAGTAGGAAGGTGCTTCCATGAGACTATAAAAAATAATTTTTTTTAATTTATTTTCTTAGAAAAAGACCAACATGCCCTTCAAAAAAGGGCCAAGTGGGTAAGAACTGTTTGTAATTTAACATATGTGATCAAAACTTAAAAGAACACTGATACAATACATTTTAAAGTTTAACGGATTGATTGTCAAGAAAAAAGAGTTTAAATATTGATTTGTCAATCATGAAAAATTGAGGGGTACCCGTGCAAAAAGCCAACATATAATATTTCTACCATAAAATAATATTGAGTAGAAATAAATTATATTATATGCATCCATATATTCTCGATGACTATTGAAATTGAATTGGACGCTGAAGGCATTGAACTTTCAAGGAGATTAGGAGTCTGTTTGTTCGCTGATTGAATTTTTAATTTGAGTTAAGATGTAACTTTATGTGAGAATTTTTTATTATAATAAAAATGTTATATATAATTATTTTTTAAAATTTTTTACAGCATAAAACTCAAATCAATAAAATAATTTGATTTGGTAAAATAAACGGATTTATACGGCCAAATAGGAAATCTCGTGCAGATATACGCCTGATTCATGTGCATGAATAATGCTCCAACCAAAAGACAAACAAAAAGCCACCGATATGGACCATACCCATGTTTTTTTTTTTTTTTTTTTTTTTTTGGAAGGGCCATACCATATATAATACCCATAGAGTAGTGGGAAATATTAAACGAGTCAAATAACAATGATAATAGATAAACTAAAGAACTTGTAAGAAAAAAAAAATAAAATAAAATTCGAGTATTAAATGCAAAAAGTCAAAAAAAAATCCAATATTTAATAGAACAAGTAAAAAGAAAAAAAAAAAAACCATCTTTTCTTTGCGTCCTTACCAAATAAAAAATCAACCTAGAAGATCCGTTAGACTATTGATGATATCTGTGGGATCTCACTTTCTAACTTGTCGGATTTCGGATATGATCTCATTCTGATTCTGATTGCCTGCTTCCATTTAAAAACCACACACCTGTCTTTTTGGTTTCATCACATTTAATTTTTCATCTCCTTTTTGCTTTCTTTTCTCTTCTTCCTGATTCTTGATTCCAATCTCTTCTCCTTCTTCTTTCATTATGGCTATGGCTGCAAATGCTCAGTTTCATGTCCTGGCAGTCGATGACAGCATCATCGACCGAAAGTTGATTGAGACTCTCCTCAAAACTTCTTCATTTCAAGGTAATTTCAATATGAAATCTTTCAAGTTGGTTTTTGGATTCGTCTTTTGCAATATAATTTAGTTTAATATTGACGAGATTTTGTGGGTCGTCCTTGTTCTTTGCAGTTACTGCAGTAGATTCAGGAAGTAAGGCTTTGGAGTTTCTGGGTTTGCATGAAGATGAGCAAAATCATCATCACAACTCGGAAGTAAATATGATCATCACTGATTACTCTATGCCTGGAATGACTGGTTATGATCTCCTTAGAAAGATCAAGGTAATTTGCTTTCATGGGAACTTATAATATCATTTCTAAGATGTAAAAAATAATAATAGTCATAATATTTGCATAATGTTAGCCAGATTTTATTAATTTGGCCAGTGTTCTTATGTTATGCAGAAATCTAAATATCTTAAAGATGTACCGGTTGTCATCATGTCCTCGGAGAATATTCCATCAAGAATCAGCAGGTAAAAGAAATAGTGAAAATCACTCTATTATAGTTTAGAAGAAAAATATCGAAATGAATATATATATATATATATATATATATATATAATAAAACCCACGAACGAGGCGAGATTCTAGGGAGTAGTTTAGAAGAAAAATATCGAAATGAATATATATATATATATATATATATATATATATATATATTCTGAATGGATGCTGACTCTTTGTTATTGATAAGGTGCTTGGAGGAAGGCGCAGAAGAATTCTTTTTGAAACCAGTTCAGCTGTCGGATATGAACAAGCTTAAGCGTCATTTGTATAAGGGTAGTTCTAAGAACTACAAACACAATATCAAGAAAAGAAGGACCATCATGAAAGAAAACCAATCACCCAAAAAAGCAAGAAAATCATGTATTGGCTTGGAAGTGATCTAAGAAGTACGTACATTACAAGGGTGAAGGGACACTCATGTTCTCTGTTTTGCGAATAGGATCAATGATTTTATTCTGAGATCTCCGCAAAGGCAGCAACTGTCTAGCTGGTTTGGAGATGAACTAAAAGAATATGGGGCTCATTCTGAAAACAAAGATGGGAATCAATTCAAGTCATTTACGACTTCCGGCCTATTGGCCTTTCCAATGTCTCCGATGAAATCCTTGGTAAAACTTTCGGTCACAGATTCATAGAATTATCTCCATTTAAGGCTGCATTTGTGATAAGGGCCACAATTTTTTAGGACAACATTATAGCAAGGCTGAAAATGGAGGAGACAGCTTCGCGGAGTATCTCCGGTCACCAGCCGCCTCTTTTTCTGGATATGGGCATTTTCTTTTGCTCGGTGAGGTTAATGCCAAGAGAGGAGCAAACAGACTTGGTCTTGTTCATTTCATCGAGTTTTTCGTTTTAAGTTTTTATACATTAAAAAGTTTTTAAAAAATGTCACATTTAATTTTTTTTGTTACAGTTAAAAATTCTCACAAAATATCACATCTCAATTTAAATTAAAAATTCAAATTCGCAAAACCAACGAGGTTCTAGTTGTAGAGTTAAAACCTTCAAATTTGTTTACCTGAAAAAGAATGTTTTTTTTAATCTTTCCTGACATAATGAAAATTAAAGTATTGCATTTTATTAATAATTTAAATGATTGTCGTTGTTCTCCGTTCTCCATCATAATTTTGAAATGTTCCAATAATGCAAAGAGCATGTTAGGTTATATATTTTCTCTTGGCTCAAGCGTGTTTCTAATGGTTGCTAAATAAGCAGCAACAATTAGGAACAAAAGATATAAATTAATAGTTAGCAACAATTAGTTCCTTAATCCTTGTTCAAAGCAAAGTATAGGCTAGCTTTCGTCAACTCTACATGTCAAGCTATAAGACGATATTTAGCATTTACTGAGATCATTTATAAAAATAAACATTCTATTTCAACGGCAAATCAATTTAAGACTCTGAACTCAACAAGTGGGGCTGACGAAGCGTTGTTTTTTTATGTATTTGAATTTAAAACGAAATAAAAAAAAATCAGAAAAAAGATTATTCAAAACTGTGACCCTCGTGAACAAAATGATTATCATTATTAAAAGATACAAGATACCTTCGAAATATTTTGTTATAATATAGCATACTAAAATGATTTTTTTGCGTATTATTACTATTTGACCCTAAGAGCTCGTTTGGTTGAAAGATTCGTTCTCTAATTCGAATCATGGTTCATGGTTTGTCACAGTATTTTTTTTCACAAAAAACACACATAAATCTCATGGTTCTAATCCATCAACCAAACTGGATTCAAGTTAAAGGATACCGTATGCTTGGAGGCTTTTTCATGCACATGCATGAGTTGTGACCAACTTCATACCGTCCTTCCATGCATGAGTTGTGATCTCCTACAGATTACCTATTTGGCTACAAATCTCCTTGAAGGTGCCTTCCAAGTCCAACTCAATTTTATTATCCTAGACTATGTGCAAGTGCAAGATTTAACATTAAGATATGTTTACTTCACATAAAAGGAAAAAAGATGAGTGTCTCTTTTTATTATTTTTTCTTTGTTTTAGGTAAATATCATCATATAAAATATATGTATAAAACAAATATCGTCATATAAAATATATGTAACACAAGTATATCAATGTTGCATGAAAATATACACCCGTGTCTTAAACACTCTGAGTTAGGCACCAAATCATGCTCCAAAGTACTTGATCTATGGCCAAGATCCCAACCCCGAACCTGATTTTGGCTTGGGACGTTTAGTTCATAAATTCAAATTTTTAAAATTCAAATTTTTTGTGAAAGAAAAGTACTGTAAAGAATTAAGAATCATGATTCAGAACCATGAACGAACATATAGGATGTTTGATTTATGTATTCAGAATCATGATTCAATATCATTTTCGTTTTACGTGTATTTTTTAAGAGAGAAAATACTATAAAAAATCATGAATCATAATTCAGAATAAGAAACAAACATCCCAAACAAACATCTCATATTTCAGAATTGGGCCTTACTTGCGGTTCTTGACCCCAATTCTAATCTTAGATCTAGTCTTGGATTCCTTCTACTACATTGACCCTGACCCCGGTCATGTAACCCCACCCTTGTCCCAACCCCAGTCTTTAAGTTGTATGAAAAATTTGATATATATGCTAATACGATTGTGTAAGTTAAATTAGAATATACGGTCTGGTACGAAGTTTTTGTTGTATTAGATATCACAATATATATTGTATTATTTCTTAATTTCATATCCAACTATACATCGTACAAATATTGTCAAATAAAAATTACTAAGACCATATATATACCAAATGTGTCCCTAGTATAACTATTTTTATGAAATTTCAAGTTATCCCATGATGGTCTCATGATTACTTTTATTAAATTATAGAAAATCATCCTCAATTGTTATGGATGAAAATGTGGACAACAAAAATAAAAAGCAAATCTATTGAAGAAAAGGAGTTTCTTTGTTGGGTATGATCTACTAGTAATGTCAATTTTTAATTATTAAATTAGATTAAAATCATATTAAATTAAAAGAATATATATAACAGGCTTTCAAACAAAAAGTTTCATCAACAAAAGTAGCATAATGCTTATGTAGAATAATCCAAATAATAATAATGAGATAATTTTTTTATTTGATAAATTTTACATATAATATTAATTTCTTACGGATCAAATTAAAATTATAATAAAATAAACAAAATATATAAAATAAATAATTTTTAATATAAATTTAATAGTTAAAAATAAAGATTTATAGATATTTTATTTTTTTAATAATAATTGGAAATCCAATATTTATATTTGAAAGGGTCAAAAGGGAGCACCTTCTTTGTTTTTTCGTCAAATAAAAAATCTTAGAAGATTTGGGAGATCGTGATGAAATCTGTGGGATTTTTCTTTTCAAACTGTCGGATTTCCATGAGGATTTCGTATCTCTCCCTGATTTTGATGGCTTTCCATTTAAAAGGCCACACATCCCTCTGTTGGGTCTCGTCCAATTCATCCCATCTCCTTTTGGTTCCTTCTTTTTCTTCTTGATTCCAATCTCTTCTTCTTCTTCTTCTTCTTCTTTCAATCATGGGTATGGCCGGAGATGCTCAGTTTCATGTCTTGGCGGTTGATGACAGCATCATCGACCGAAAGTTGATTGAGACTCTCCTCAAAACTTCTTCATTTCAAGGTAATTTCAATATGAAATCTTTCAAAGTTGGTTTTTGGATTCGTCTTTTGCAATATAATTTAGCTTAATATTGATGAGATTTTGTGGGTCGTCCTTGTTCTTTGCAGTTACTGCAGTAGATTCAGGAAGTAAGGCTTTGGAGTTTCTGGGTTTGGATCATGAAGATGAACAAAATCATCTTCACAACTTGGAAGTAAATATGATCATTACTGATTACTCTATGCCTGGAATGACTGGTTATGATCTTCTTAGAAAGATCAAGGTAATTTGCTTTCGTGGGTACTTATAATATCATTTCTAAGATTAAAAAAAAAAAATAGTCATAATTTTTGCATAATGTTTGCCAGATTTTATTAATTTGGTGTTCTTATGTTGTGCAGAAATCTAAATATCTTAAAGATGTACCGGTTGTCATCATGTCCTCAGAGAATGTTCCATCAAGAATCAACAGATGCTTGGAGGAAGGGGCAGAAGAATTCTTTTTGAAACCAGTTCAGTTATCAGATGTGAAAAAGCTTAAACCCCATTTATTGAAGGGTAAAGCTAAGAAAATCCAACACAACATTAACAAGAGAAAAGCCAGCACAAAAGAAAACCAATCACCCAACAAATTAGCAAGAAAAACACTTGATATTTTGGAAGTGATCTAAGATGTTTTTACAAGGTTTACAATATTCTGTGTTTTGCCACCAGTGGGATCAAAGATTTTCTTCTGAATGCTAGATCCCTAAAGGCATCAATTGGCTATATTTGAGGCCAAAAAGATCTTAACAAGAAGGGGAAGCGGGTTTTTGCAAAGGGCTATCTGCTATAGTCTTATTCCGGAAATGAAGATTGAAATCAACTCGAATCACTTTCGGTTTCAACCAGTTGGCGAAGTTGTTGACGACGATAAGTTTTTCGATCATACGGCTAATTCGGCCTTTGCTTCCTGATGTTTTTCGGTTCCGGCTTATAAGTTGTCGCAGACCGCGTGACGTTTGGTTCAGGATTAAAATTATGGGATTAAAATTATTTTTGATTTAAATGTATTTTTTTTGAGAAAAAACACTTTAATGAATTGTGAATCATGATTTAAATCATGTATGAATCTCTTCATCAAACGTTTCTGATTTGGATTCAGAAGTCGGAATCTCTGGTTTTCAAAAGCCTTTTGTTAGCAAGGCAATGAGTTGCAATATGAGATGTATAGCTCTACAAAGAGTGTTGAGCCAAAGACAAAGTCACTACTCTTTCATGGCAGTTTTTTGATTTGGAGGATCCAAATAAAAATCAATTTTTTACTGTTGTTTTTAGCTGCAACAACGATGAGAAAGATTTTTTTTTTCTCTCTCTTATGATGTGTTAGATAATGAGAAATAGACTTTTACATTGTCTTTATTTTTTATCTTTCTACTCATTGAAGGACTATCCCAAGTTGGAATTTTTCCCGCTTTGCTTCTTTTGTTGTTATAGTTGTCATTTTGAGAGATCAACAAAATGTTTATTCTTGAAAACCACACACACACACACGTGGTTTGGAGATTTCAATTTACCATTTTTTTTTTTTGAACTCGGGGATTCAAACTCTACATTCCGTTTAGTTTCTTAATTTGAGTTTTTAATTTAAATTAAGATATAATTTTATGTAAAAAAATTTTATTATAGCAAAAAAAATTAATTGAGACTGTTTTTAAAAAAATTTTACTGTAATAAAATTTAAATTTTAAACTTAAATCAGTAAAATAAACGCAATTACAGCTTGTGGTGTTAAGGATAAAATTAAGGTTGTGCTTCCTAGAATCACAAATTTACTAGGCTTTTTAAGGCCCTTTTACTGAGAGCGTAACTTTTTTTTTTTTTTTAATTCTTTGATGGTAATCTGAATTATGAAATTACCAAGGAAATGTTCAGGACAGCGAGGAGTAACAGAAAGGAGATCCATCAATCAGTTTTGTTATAATCACAAGAAATGGAAACCCTTTTATGGTTCGAATATTTTTCAAGATAATATTCCTATTGATTGATTTTTTGTCTAATTTAGTGGTTGGAATCTGGTTCCTTTTGTTTATCTGTACCAAAGACATAAGGTCCTGTTTGTTACCGTTTTCAATCCCATTTTTCACGTTTTTCAAAGTAAAAAATTGAAAACGCATTTGTAAAACGCGTTTGGAGCAGGTTTTTTTAAAAAATAAAAACAAAACCGTTTTTGTCTTTTTGTGCAATTTTGAAAACGTAAAAAAGCTGTTTTCATTTTCTTGTTTTCGTTTTCATTTTCCTGCTCTTCTCCAATCTCTCTCTCTCTCCTCTCCCCACGTTTCTCTCTCTTTCCCGAACTCAGGACGCCGTTCTCGGATGCCGTTTTCACATAATCACGGCCGCGGAGGTGGCAGTGTGATTCCCTGGGCTCGCCGGAGCTTGGCCGTGAAGTTGGCAGCGGGATTTGCCTGGGCTCGCCAGAGCTGGGATGTGGAGGTGGCGGCAGCAGATCTGATTTGCAGAGATGGAGGGAGCAAGTTTTTGGCAATTTTTTTGTTATGAGATCTGATTTACAGGTTTAAGTCTCTTTCTTGCTCTTGTATGTTGGCAAATTATAGTCCATCGTCTGTAGATGTTCAAAAGCTTCAACAAATCTTCTCTTTCTGAGTTCGATAATTGTAAAACAGATGCAATCTTCTCTCTAACACATACCAATACTCTCTCTAACAAATGCAATCTCCTACGGTTCCAAAGAGTTGTCCATAGCTGCAGAATTTTGCAGCTCTTGCAATGCACACCACCTGTTCGAGAAAAGTCCTAAGAGAGACTTTTCGGAATCCACTAACTTGCTTTTCGAGTACTCTCGTGATGGTTGATCTAATAATATATTAATATTATTATTTATTAAATATATTTTAATTTTAAATATTATTACATATTTTTAAAAATTAAATCACCAAACGCAGTTTCAGTTTTTTTAAAACTGAAATCAATCTCTGAATAAAACTACCAAACGCATTTTCAGAAATGATTCCAAAATGAAAATAAAAACGTTTTTGTTTTCATTTTCATACAAAAAATAAAAACGTTTTGAAACCAATTCCAAACGCACCCTAAATTTCAACAATAAATAGTTAAAGCTATAAATAATAAAAATATAGATGAACAACAAATAGTGCAATAAGTGCAATAGAAGAAGGTCCATTTAATTCGTTAATTATAGTTTTTAATTCGAGTTAAGACGTGACTTTATGTAAAAAATTTATTGTAATAAAAAAGTTAGATGTGACTGTTTTTTAGAGTTTTTTACTGTAATAAAACTCGAATCGGTAAAATAAACGGGACAGAGGTCTATTTAAAAAAAATAGAAGAGGTATAATTATAGGAGCTAAAAATGGTGGTTCTCAATTATCTTTCACGTTCTACTATCTCTAAGGGTGTGTTTGGAATTGGTTCCAAAATGATTTTGGGCCCGTTTGTTTGCGTTTTCGTTTTCGTTTTTCACGGTTTTCAAAGCAAAAAAATGAAAACGGGTGTTAAAAACGTGTTTGGTGCAATTTTTTTTAAAAAACAAAACCAAAAACGTTTTTGTCTTTTTGTGAAAATCAGAAAACGAAAAAAAGGTGTTTTCATTTTCTTGTTTTCGTTTTCTGTTTTCTGAAAAACGGATTTCACTTTTTTTTTTCTTTTTCATTTTCTTCCCTCTTTTCTGAAACCGTTTTTGTATTATATATGTTTAATTAATATATTTATTTAATATATTATTATTTAATATATTTAATAATATTATTTATATAATATATTTAATAATATTATTTATTTAATATATT